TTTAAACCACAGGAGCCCAGGAGTCTTATAATTAAACAGAAAATGCAACCAGAAGGAATTTTGGGTGTAGACCAATGAATTCCATTTGCAAGTGAAAGAATAGGTGGCAAATCAGCAGTGTGCAGAATCCAGCAGAAATTCTAATTAAACCAGTAATTAGAAATGATGGAGTACAGCGAGAGGCAACTTGTTATCTTCAGATGATCTGTGAGAGGGCTCTGAAGGTAGAGTGGCAACTCAGTGGGACGAATGCAGCTAACAAGACGCCCCAAGGGTCTGACAGCTGGAACATCATCTCCTCAGGCCCTACGCTGGCCCCACCCTCCCTTCAGAAGAAGCCACAGAGCAAACAGGGCCTCAAGTCTCAGCTCCCAAGCTGGGGACTCAGACTGCCAAGGATCACCTGACAAAGAATTATTCTCTAACAAAATAGCCTGGTTCTCACTGTGAGAATATTGTGGTAATCCATCTTACATCAGCGCTTATCTCCTCATATGTGAGTTTTCTATACACAAGGAATATTTTAATTATTCCCTATATATGCATTATACACATATAACATACACATTACTTATATATTCACTATGTAATTATTCACTAATTATATTTTCCCATAACTGGATTTATCCACATATGAACAGTGTTTTAATTGTTTTAATTACTCATGGGGGTGGGGAAGGGGGATTATCAAAGGACTATCTCCACAAAATGTCTGCCTATGGAGGAAGGGTTTCTGGGAAGACCTCTCTGTGTCCTTGGGGGGTGGGGGAGCATTAATGCTTACGTTCCAGTTACCACCCTCACTCACACTTCCCCACCAAGACCAAGGGTGGTTTGGAGGTGCCAGGCAGGCTGGCTAGTATGGGCTTGTTCCTCCAGGGATGGTGATTTCTCAGAGAGAAGAGATGAAGGAGCAGGAGGAATCAGATGCCAAGTTTCCCAGAACAGCCAAGAATGCAAGTGGCAGAGCCCAAAAGGTGAGGAGAGTGCACTCTCCATGGGGTAAGATCAGGAAGCAAGCAGCGCTGCTCTGAGCAGCCCATGCCCGCAGCTGTAAATAACCCGGGAGTGTTAGCAGTTTTGCCCTGGGGTCTGGGGCCTCATCAGAAACTGCTGCAAGTCCCTAGCATGCACTCTCCAGCACAGAAACCTGACACACCAGAGCTCCTACCAGCAAATGGCTGTCCTCGATTCTGCTGATGGAGAAATCCTCAGGGCAACATCCACTCTGCTCTGACTCTCCTCTCCCTGCTTCCATCAGCAACCCCTGACTTGGACAGAACTGAAGTGAATTAGGTCAGGAGTGGTAGAGGTCAAGAAATGGAAGACAGGCAGGACAATAAAGCACCAAGATGGAGACAGGGATCTTCTGGATTCCAATCCACCTGGAACCACATACCACATTCCTAAACTTTGGAAGTTTAAGTATGTTCATTCCTACCAATTTTCCATTGGTGGGAGCTCATTCCCCCTTTCTCAGGGCAGTAGCATAAAGAACTGGACTCACAGGTTTAGACAGCCTCCTCTGGGTAAATGCCTAGGTTGTCAGCAAATATTTATTAAGAACTTCTTATGGAGACATATCGCATAGTTGTTAAGAGCATGAAGTTTAGATTCTGATAAACCTGAGTTCAAGTTCTCAGGTTGCCACTCACTATGTGTGTGACCTTGAGCAAATTATTTCACTGCTCTGAACCTCCAGTCTCACATCTGCAAACTGCGGAGAGCAGTATCTGTCTCATGGGATTGTAGTGAGATTAAACAAGATGGTATAAGAATAAAGCACTTAGCACAATGCAGAAGCCTCAATAAAAATCTGGGTATTATCACTGTGTGCCAAGCATGGCATGAGCAGCTAGAAGCCAGGATGGCACTCACTTCCCTTAAGAGCACACCAGGTAGGCATTTCCCCATAGAGCACTGTCCCACCTGAGTATGGGAAGGGGCACTAATGCAGACCTCCTCATAGCACTTTGCTTCTGACCTCTGGAGTCCAGAACACCAGTCAGGGAGGTTAATGTAAAAGGACTTTGTAGTTGCTAAGTGACCGAGTTTTTTCTCATTCTGCTGCTCTAGATATTTGGCTGTGAGGACTTTTTGCAGCCCAGCCTAGGAGCAAGTGATAACTCAGACCTGGTTCTAAGAAAAAAGCCCAAATCCATCTTCCGTTTAAGCTACTCTGCTGTGCATCTTAGCAGCCTTAAAGGGATTCATGATGAATTGTCCTGCTGCAGCAAACCTGGACAGAAAAAGGAGCAGGCAGGAAGGGAAGATGCACAGCAGTCAGGAGTCCTCTCATCTCTTTCTCAATGATCCTTGGAATTTGCTCCCAGATCCGATGGGTAGGACATTGATTGCAGGGTGCATGTACCTCCAGGGTGCACACACACACACACACACACAAACACACACAACTCCCAGTAGCAGGCTGGAGTCCCCTGGGTCAGCATGGTCCCTTCCCTGTTGCACTGGGGATCCCCTTATTTCCTTCACTCTTGAGGCACAAACATTTTAGCTCCACACCAAAACTACGCACATTATAGAATGAGGGAGCAGGGACCCAGGACCCATCAGGGAAGGCAAGAGACACACTCCTTTCCTCTCCAGGAAAAGCCAGCCCCGCCTCTCCTGCACAGTTGTCTTGTGGCTTTCAACTCCATTACAGATAGGTCAGGTGAGGAGGAGGATGGCAAGCCCTGCCTTAAGGGCGGGGACCCCTGAAGTCCATACTGCTGGTGCCATAACGTGAGACCAGGCCCTAGACATGAAAACAATCCTAAACTGTGTGCTGGAGTCTCATCCTGGAGCTGTTTGCAGACAGCTGAGGGTGCCGGCAGACCCAACACAGCCAGGCCCAACCCCACCCCTACCCCCTCAGCCCTGCTCTTACCCAGTCTTCCCCACTCAGGGTCTCCTGAAGAGACCTGGGGGTTAGAACAGTTTAGCTTGAAGTGAGTTGTGGGTCCTTCTCAACCACACTGAAGCCCTGCCACTTTCATTTTTCCCATACCCCTCTCACACCAAGGGGCAAGAGCAGGGAGAGGAAGAAGCAACTCTGGATATAGTCCATAAGGAAAGAGGTGGGGAACTAACATTTAATGAGCATCTGTTATGTGTCCAGCAATGGGCTCAAAATAAGCCTGTGGAAAAGGTAGCATAGGCATCTCTGAGGACACCAACACTCCAGAGGGAAAGTGACTTGCCCAAGGTCACTTCATGCTGGCACATGGCTGGGCAATGGGCCCAGTTCTGACAACAATCACATACCCTCCCCCGGAGCCTTCTCCAACCCCGCACCCCCACCCTGGCCCTGCTTTCCTTCCCTTGGAGTCAGAAGCCTAAGGCCCTTGCCCCACAGCCAGGCAGCCTGAGCTCTGCATGGCTCACTATGAGGACCTGCCCACCTCTGCTCAGTGGCCCTAAGACACTGGTATCTCTGGCCATTCCTGTCCACAGTTCCTGGGAAAGAACTCCATTCAACTCCCAAACAGCTGACACACAACTCTGCATGTGACTCAGGTCAAACTTACTCCAATCAGAGCCAGTGGGCGCGATTTGCCTCCTGCACTGAGTCACCCTCCAAGCTGAGCTGCAGAGATTCAAGGAAACTCACCACCTACTTAATTACAGCTGCTCTATTAGAGAAAAAGTCAGCAGAGGAGCTGGAGCCTCTGATGGGCCCCATGAATGAGCCATAGCCCAAGGACAGTCAGGTGTGACCTCAAAGCCCTTCCTGCTCAGGAGATGGGCCCACTTACTGGACCTTGGGGTAATGTAAGCACAGTGAGGGACACAGGAAATCCCCACTGTTAACCTCAACACCCTCTGACCTTGTCCTCCAGACATCAGTCACCATATCCAACACAGTCAAACAGCTGGGCTTTAATGTTTTGGTTAAATTTTTTTTAGAGCCATTACAGGATTTTCTTAGTTTCTTACAAGTTCCTGTTAACATAGGCAGAGCCTTCAAAAGAATCTTCCTTCTTTACCCAGCCACCCTATCTCCCCAACCTGGCCCCACCTGCCTCAGACTCAGAATTGCCACAAATCGTCTGTTAGAAATCTCCTAATGCAAAGATCCTTTGAAATATTTCTCAAAGAAGTAAAGAGGAATGGGATCAATTTATTATTTATTTTTTTAAAGCCACTTGACAGTGACTGAGTCCTGTAAGTTAAGCGGCCTCGGTATTTCTAATCACTTGGAGCCCTGAAAGAGCGGTTTGGGCTTTAAAAGGAAACACCAGGCCTCCTTACAAGACGACAGCGCTCCTGGGGGAACCGCCCTCCAGGAGTACTTCGAGCATCGCTATAGAACTCGGTGCTCACAGGTATAAATGTGGCAGAGGCCTCTCTCCTGAGACGGTGCCCCCTCCAGACACGCACCCTGCGCACGTCCCCCATCTCCGTCATTAGGTTCTCAGATGCGCTTCCCTCGAGGATGGCTGGGCTGCCGGCTAGCTCCAAATTCAGCGAAGACCAGCCCCAGGGCTGGGAATTAAATATTCATCTTTGCGCAAGCACTCTGCTTCTCCTGCCAATGTTATTCTCAAGGTCACGGGCCGGAAGCCCAGTGGATGGGGCTGGGGTCTCCCGCCGCGCAGGAGCCTCCCCGCGGGGACTGAGCCCTAGGCGCGCAGCTGCGGGCAGCGGGACGGGACGGGCCTCCTCCCGGGTGCTCCGCGGGCGCTTGCCTCTGCAGCTCTGCCCTATTACCTCCGGAGTTCTTGGGCCCGCCTGAGCCCCGGAAGCTGGAGCCCATTGGCCAGCCCATGATAGCTGAGCTGGGCACCCGCGATGTGCCCGAAGAGCACGGGCCCCGGAGCTCCGTCGCCAGGCAACAGCGGCTGGAGCGGCGGGAGGAGCCCAGGGCCGGGCAGATACCTGGGCAGGGCCGCCTCGCACCTCGGTCCTTAGGCCTTCCCGGCCGGGGCGGGGCCGGAACACCCAAAGTTGCGGTGGCTGACCGGGTAAAGCCAGGCGGGGCGCGGCCAGCGACTCACCTGTCCCGCGTGGGGCGTCGCGCGGACACAGCCGCTGCGCTTCGGCAGAGCTGCTGCGGCCCCCGACGGGTCGCAGGCGCACAGCCCTCCCACCGGCAGCCCGAGTCTGGCGGCGACGGTCACCGGCCGGGGCTGGGAGGGGACCCGGAGCCGCTCGCCCGTGCACGCGACTCTGCTCGCTCCTCGCTCCCTCCCTCGCCGCGGTTCCCGGCCCAGCTCCCGCCCGCGGTGCGCTCAGGCCTCTGGGGAGCGGCCCGGGGACCCAGGTCCCGCGGCAGAGGGAGCGCGTGGGGCTGCGGGCACCGAGGCCGAATGCCGCCCTCCCTGCGCTCTGGCCGCGCCGGCTCTGCGGAGCGGAACGGATCTGGGCGGAGCGCACCGCGCACCGTTCCCTCGCTTTCCGCAAGGCCACCCTGGCGGCGGGGCGCCGTGACGCAGTCTTGACTCACGCGCGGGCCCGCGTCAATGCTGGGCTCGGAGGCCGCGAGCGAGGCTCTGATGGCCGACGCAGGCGGAGCTGGTGGGCGGGAAGAGGGAGAGGGGCTGCCTCTTGAGGCCCTGGCCAAGCGACCCAGACCACGGAGCACCATCACCAGGGCTTCTGCCCTCGCAGAGGACTGGGACCTGGGCCTCATTTCTTTACCTTTTCTGGCCCATCTCTTTCGGCCCTCCTTCAAGAACTCAGTCCCACCCCAAGTGATTATTCCTCCTGCCCTGGGCACTCCCATCTCCTTACCTATGTTCACTCTCTTCTCACTGGGAATGCCTTTTCCACGGGTCCCTCCACCATATACCATCCTGCAATTCCCTGTGCTTTGAAGTTCAACTCTTCAGTATGTCTATCACTCATCCACTGAGCTCCTACTGTATGCCATGGGCTTCAGAGGTTGAGATCACAGAGGCAGAGTGGGGCTTACCCAGACAGCCACAATGCAAGGCAAAAGGACTGAAGGACCCTACAAAGATCAATAGAGTGAGGGTCAGTGAAGGGAGAGGGAATTCCAAGAGGGAATCCGTAAGGCTCAGGGCAGGCCTTATGAAAGAGGCAAGACAGGATACTGGTCTCAAAGGGTGGACAGGACTTCAACTGTCATAAGGACAAGGTCAAAGATGCACAAGAGTGGAGAAGGTGTGCAAGGGGGATGACTGCCTGAGCTGGAGCAGGGGTGGGGTGGTAGGAGGTGACCTTAGGGAGGTAGGAGCCATCCTCCAGGGCGTTGGAGGGAGGTCTGGGGAGTCTAGGATAGATTATCCCTGCTCTAAAGGACACTACGGGGACTTTGGCATTAGAGACAGCTGTTAGGGAGGGGTGGGAGGTGGAGGCTGCTTCTCAGTTGTCCTATTGAAAGGCTATATAGGACCATTGTCACAAACTCCAAAGGCACAGAGATTTTACCTTTGCAATCTAAGAAGTTAGCCTGCCACAGTTTCATGGATTCTGGGAGAAGACATGATACTCCCAACCCACAGATAAGGGACTTTACAACTCATGGTAGGGCAGGCAGCATGAGCTTCACATTCAAATCAGTTTCTCTTAGTCCCCAAGTTCCCTGGGGCTGGACCCAGGTGATACTATACCTGCTGAGGAACCCCAAGCTTAGGAAACCCTAATATTTTATAATGGACTGCAAGGAAGCCTGTCCAACCTTTGCTCTGGAGGGACACATTGTCCTTATTATACTGGACAGCAAACAAACATTATTATACTGTCCTCCACTGCAGGAGACACTGTATCTTCCATAGCTGTTTGCTATGTAAATAAATGGTCTGGGATAAAAAGTTGCCTGTGCTTCTGCCCATAAGACTTGTGGAATTGTGAGACAGCCATGGAGAATTATCTCCCAATAGACATTTATCTTTTCACTCAACAACTTCTTAGTGTTAGCCTAGTGTTTGTCTGACTCTGTTCTAGGCTCTGAGGATACACAGAAAACAGCACCGATAATGATTCCTGCCCTCAAGAGCTTACCTTCTGGTGCACCCAGCCAGTGAGATAGAGTAGGGTGCAGGGACATGGCAGGAAATGGAAAGTGATACAGGAGACATGACAGAGGTGAACTAACAGAATGTGACAACTGAGCTGGTGTGGGAGGTGACAGGAGGGAAAGTCAGGGATGGGTGATTTTAGGGCAGGGGAACTCGCAGGAGGTGGGGGAGAGGAGAAGGACTTTGGAAACTGACAGACCTAGTTTTCATTCTGACTGCCATTTACTAGAGACCTGGAGCAAGTGACAGAACCTGTCTGAGCCTTAGTTTCCACATCCATAAAATGAATAGGACACATCCCATGAGGTTGTTATGATGATCAGATGAAGTGATTTTTTAAAAATATCTGGTGTGACATTTGATAGAACATGTGCTTAATAAAATACTGTGACTCATGGTATCATCAGATGACTATATTGTTATTAACCAAGATAGGGAATCTGGAAGGAAGAGCAGATTTGGGGAGCACTGGGGATGAAGGTAATAAGATAAAAGATTTGGGACATATTGAGAATGAAGTGTTCACGGGATAGGAGGACAATAACCAGAAGATGTCTTTGCCTTTCTGCCCTTGCATCACTTCTACCTAGTAAAATTCCAAGCTTAAATGAACTCAGTACTTGGTTTCTCTGCCCAAATTCTCTAGAGAAAAATGCACTGTGGGGCCATGAGTGCCCCTTTGCCTTCACGGTCAACAAACTCGAGCAGGTACCTCATGCTGCCCCATAGCATTCCTATAATCGAGTTGCCTCCCCAGGCTGATGAGTGCCACTCAGCCCTCACAGACCACCTGCTGACCCCACCCCACCCCAGAGGGCCGTGCTCACTTAGGGACTGCCTTACTTGGGGAAGAAGCTCCCTGGCGTTTCCACTGAGGACAAGGAAACCTGCCCGCATCTCACCTGCACTTGCTCCTGCCTCTCTTTCCCCTCCTCCTGACACCGCAGGGCAGAGTCTCTCCTGCTCCCTGAGACCAGCCCCTACCTGTCCACTGGGTCCCCTGGCCTCATCTTCCTGAGAACCTCAACTGCTATCAGTTACTGTATCTTGCCAGTCTTGTCAAGCTTTCCCTTTCTTCTGGATCCTTCCAGAAGCTTTAAGCATGTTCAGGTATCTTCCCTTTGAAATGTCACTAGGCTCTCATTTTGTTCCACATCCTCTGCCTCCATTTCCTCACTCCCCACTCACTCTGAACCTGCTTCTGCCCCATAATGCTGCCAAGATGGCTCCCTCTCACTAGGGTCACCAGGGACTTCTCGGTCCCTAAGCCCATGGGACAGCCTCCAGTCCTCATCTTCCTGCCTCCCTGTAAAACCTGTCTCCGATGCCCTCTCCCTCCTGCTAGCACTCTTTTCTCAGGACTGTACACTGCCTGATTTCCTCCTACCCTTCTGGCCACCCCTCAGTTTCCCCTGCTAACCTTTAAAAGTGGACTTCTTAGAACCTTACCCTTTTCTCACTCTACGCTCCTGTCTTAGGCCATCTCCTGTACCAGGAACTCCCTCATTTACAGCTCCTTCAGGCACTCTTCTGAGTTCCATATATTCCACCTCTTCCTCCACTTTTCCACTTGGCTCCCTCAGAATCACCCCCAACACAGATGTATTAGCAATAAATTCAACGTTCAAATATCTACCTTGTAAAACATTCGACATTCTGCCTCTCACTCCTCCCGCAGGGCCCCCTGACTCCGTGAACAGCTGAGCCACAGGAATCCAGCCGTCACCTTTGAGCCTCCCTCTTCCTCACTCCTTCATAAAATCCATCATGACGTCCTGGAGACTTTATGTCCTAACCCCACCTCAAGAACCTGGCCACTTCTCCTTCATTCTGCTCTCACAACCCTAGTCCAAACTGTAATGATTATCCACCTGTTCCTAATTCTTGTCTTGTTCATAGCCACCTCCTAAGCCCGCCTCCAGGCTTGCCCATTCTCTACACATAGCAGCAAGCGTGAGTTTCTAGAAGCACAGATATGTCACACCCTTCCCAAGCTCTCAGAGTTTAGTGCACATCTTGAACGTGTCTGTCCTCATTCCTTGGCCTCATCTCACACCCCTCTCCCATGGCCTTCCTGGCAGCCCACTGCCCACACTGACCTTCTCTCGGCTCTCCCGCTCGCCCACTCCTTCCTGACTCACCCTTCAGCCCATGTGTCCTCTCTGCCGGGAAGTCTCTAAGTCCCCCTCTCCCTCTTCCCTCCTTCCCTGCCCACCTACCCACAGAGTTCCCTTCAAGCCCTCATTCATGCCTCTCCTGACCATGCAGAAGAATTCAGTCAGCCTCCCAGGTGGGCATTTCTTCTCCTTGGTAGCCCCTGGCATGACTGGAATTAAGTACATCAGGGTGTGACTGGCTCTGAGTGACCACCTCTCTGGCTGATATATAAACAAAGGCACGGGCAGAGACTGTGTCCACCTTCAGCACAGAGTGGGCTCTCCATACAGATCTGCTGAGAAAATAGAGTGTGGTCAGGAATATAGGCACAGAGCACAGGAAAGCAGGCTGGAGACTCAGACTTAGAAAGTCACAAACCTGAAGGAGACATGACGCACAGCAAAGACACCCCTCCGGAGGAAATGCACAGAGGGCGGTGGAGAGGAACCCTGGGCAGGGCTTCCCCCTAAGGAGTGGGAGGAGCAAGAAAGGTCCTGAAAGAAGACAGACAGGAAGAGCCAAGAGGTGAGAGGACCGTGTGAAGACCGTGTGTTGAGAAGGACAAGGCAGTCCACAGTGAAATCTGCTGCAAAGTTAAGAAGTCTGAAGCCTGAAAGGTATCCTTGGTGACACTATGTGTGGGGTGGTGGGCAGGAAGCCCCACTGAAGGCCCTCAGGCAGAAACGGCAAGTAAGGTTTCCTCCATGAAATCTTCCTGAACCTTCCCGCTCCCAGTGACTGCCTCTCCTCTGAACATCTAGGAAACAGACCCTTCCTTTTACCAGACCTATAGAAATATATGTAAATTATGGTAGTAAATATTATGAGTTAAGTACTATCAGTATCCCCATTTTACTAATGGGAGAATGAAAGCTTAGTGTGGTGAAATAATCTCCACATCATACAGTAAGCTCCATCGCGTCCTTGCTCTCAATCTTGACCTTTAGGGCCTTAGAATGTAGGTTCCCCCTCATATGTTGGTGCCTTGCTTCTTAGATTAGAGAATGACTGCTTACAGGGCTGGATCTTTTCTTAGTCATCTCTCCATACCTCACATCCCCAACACAGGGACTTACACATGAGAGGTACCCAGTCAAAGCTTCCAGGCCATCAGCCTGGTCAAACACGGCGGGTCCAGCACAATGATCTCGCCCTTTCTTCTCTATACCTGTCCTGCCTGAAGGAGGAAATACATTTACTGGTTAACCTCCCCTCCTCAGCTTTCCCCCTTC